GAAAGCAAACCAGAAAAGTACTATAGTGTGAGAAAGGCATTACCATAGACACTGAAATAGAGGAAAACACAGCAAAAAAAATAATAATAATGGTCAGAGTATTAGTATTATCAAACTGATTAAATGTTCCCTGTCAAGGTACATGGAAAGGCATTTTCAGTTATTATTCTTCTACTGAAAGGGTTTAAACATTACAGAATTAGTTAAAACTGTTGCAGAAACCTTCGATACATCACAGACTAAGCATCAAGTTATATTAACTGGGTAAACATTTAAATTATGGAGGGCAAATAGCTGCAAAAGGGAGGAACTGAGAACCACAAAAAATCTGCCATTGCTTTGCTAAGTTTGTTTGAGCCACCTACTCAAGTGCTTATTCAAATCCAAACTGGGAGGCACAGGAGCAGATCCCATGTCTCACAAACACGCCTTCTTTCCTCATCTGCCTCTTTCCTCATTTAGGAGTGGCAGCCACAATAATGCACCATTATTTTACTACTCAAGACAAAACTCAAGTTAGAGTCTTATAAGGCCTTCAGCAAATCTTAGTGTTATGGTTTCATGGGTAGAGTACTAGGCATATTGTCGGCATTCGTTAAATCCTTATTGAACACATGAATAACAAAATGAATAAATGAACAACTAAAAGAATAAATGAACAAACATTTTTTACCCCACTGGTGTCATTGTGATATGTGACTTTAGAGACGGTGCTGGGCATGGAAGAGCAACACCAGAGAAACTATAAACTGCCCCACATAAAATACTATGCTGATCTCTTGCAGATGGCAACACTCCCTTACAGTGGCTTGAGCCTTAGAGAGCTGATGCTTTCTGCAGAGGTTTTATGGGGAAGAGGTAGATACTACCTCATAAAGGGACCCACCAAGGGATTTGGGGAAAAGGAGGGGATTGGTAGGTAGAAATAACGCCCCTACTAAAGATGTCCACATCTTAATCCTTGGAATCTGTAAATATGTTATGTTACATGGAAAGTAAGATTTAAGTTGGCAGAAGGAATTAAAATCACTAATCAGCTGCACTGAGGTGAGAAGATTAGCCTGGATTATCCAGTTGGGCCCAATGCAATCACAAGGGTCCTTAATGGCAGAGTGAGGTAGAAGAAAAGGCCAAGAGTGGTGAAATGCGGGAAGGATTTGATCCCAGTTGCTATCTTTGGAGATGGAAGAAGGGGGCTCAGGCCAAGGAATGTGAGCAGCTTCTAGAAGATGGAAAAGGCAAACAAACAAACAAACAAACAAAAAATGGATTCTCTCCAGAGCCTCCAGAAAGGAACACAGCCCTGATCACACCTGGATTTTATCTTAGTGACATGCATTTTGGACTCCGATCTCCAGAACCACAAAATAATATAATAAATGTGTGTTGTTTTAAGCTACCAAGTTTTTGGTAATTTGTTAGAGCAACAACAGGAAACAGAGGATGAGTGAAGAGAAGGGAAGGACTGGAGAGGCAGGATGCTGTTTTTGTCTTTATTAGCCATGGGCTCTTAAGGAAGTCATTTCATCTCTTTGAGTGTTCATGTTCTCATCACTATAGGAGGTTAAAACTAGAAAACTCGTAAGACTACTTTAAAATATATATATATATATATATATATATGTATACATTTAAAATAATGCATTTAGGATTTATTTTTACCACTAGATAGATTTTTTTAGTTTTTATATGACTTTATAAGTTTTATTTTTATAATGATTTTATATTTTCTAGAGCTGTTTTTAGGTTCACAGCAAAAATGAGAGAAAGGGCTCCCTGCCCCACACATGTACAACCTCCTCCATTATCAACATCCCCCACCAGAGTGGGACATTTGTTACAACTGATGAAGAGTCTACATTGACACACCTTTGTTTTCCCAAGTCCATAGTTTTTATTAGGGTTCACTCTTAGTGGGTTTGGGCACATGTATCATGACATATGTCTACCACTATAGTAACACACAGGTATTTTCCCAGCCCTAAAAATCCTCTTTGCTCTGCCTAGTCATTCCTTCCTCATCTGTAACCCCCAGCAACCACTGATCTTTTTACTGTCTCCATAGTTTTGCCTTTTCTAGAATGTCATATACAGTTAGGATCATACAATATGTAGCCTTTTCAGATTGGCTTCTTTTACTTAGTAAGGATGCATTTAAATTTCTTCCATGTCTTTTTATGGCTTGATAGCTAATTTCTTATTAGTGTTGAATTAACAGTTCACTGTCTGGATGTACCACTGTTTACTTATCCATTCACCTACTGAAAGATATTTTGGTTGCTTACAAGTTTTGGCAATTATGAATAAAGCTGCTATAAACATCCATGTACAGATATTTTGTGGACATAAATTTTCAGCTCTTTTGGGTAAATACCAAGAAGTGTGACTGCTGAATCACATAGTAAGATAATGTCTAGTTTTGTAAGAAACTGCCAAACTGCCTTCCAAAGTGGCTGTGCCATTGTATATTCCCATCAGCAATGAATGAGTTTCTGTTGTTCCACATCCTCACCAACATTTGGTGTTGTCAGTGTTCTGGATTTGGGCCATGCTAGGTGTATAGTGGTTTCTCATTGTCATTTATAAGACCACTTTTGCTATTCAATGAGATCACATCTTTGAATCACCACCCAGCCCCAGGTCTGGCACACTATACGTGCTCGTTGTCGCTCTTCCCCTTCTCTCTTCTTCTTCCCCACCCTCCAGAGTCACCAAGTGTCAGGATTCAGTAGTAAGGGCCATCAAAGAAGAGAAAAAGGGGAAAAAGAACATGGATAGAGAGAAAGAGTCAAGCATGAGGGCTCTAGAATGGGGAATTCGCACCAGCCACCAGCCTCAAATGAGACTTTTGTAATATGAGGGTGTGCAAGGCTCTACCATTTGTTTTTCAGAGAAACAGAAGAGAAGGAAGGGGTGGAGTGTGGAGAACAGGAGAAGGTTTGAGTAGAGCAGGACAGGGAGAGGAGGAAAACATAAGGTGGGACCCAGGCTGGAAGAAAATATGGTGTGATTTCCCCAGCAAGAGCACTGTGCCCCTACTCAAAAGCGAGTGAAGCTTAAAAATCAGTTAGTTGTTCCTCTTCTTTTTTTTTTTTATCCCTGGTCCTACAACATCTTTCCCTTCAGTTTAGCACTGTATTAGGCCGTATTCATAACAAACACACATGAATTCATTGAAGGTAGATCATGAGTGCTGGGATGGCAAGGGAAGAGGGGTACACATATTTATGTGGAATTCCAAAGGTTAAGGATGGACCTTTTAAAACCATTGAAGAAATGCTCTCTTGAGGAGATTAGCTAAAAATTAGTTAAATTATATTAAATCTCTGGACCTTTCATTAATTATTCCTTTTTTGAAGGTGATGTTTATAGACATATGAAACACAATATAGGTAAGAACTCTACCATAAATGGAATATTATGTTATGTAAAATGATCTTCAAGGTACTATGAGAAGTATATGGCTAGTGGAAAATGCAGACTTCTAAGTCTGAATGATAACTTATTCCCTTTCAGGTTTTGCAGCCAATGTAGACTTCATGACAACAGAGATGTAAATGTAGTGGGATAATTTCAACATCCAAATTATAATAAAAATCATTGCTAGGGTTTGGAGGTACATTGTGTTCAAGGATTTCTTATTAAATTTTTTGATGTTGCACAACTTTGAATTGGTCATTTTGTGGTTAGGACAAACCTATTTTTATTAACACATCAAGTTTTAAGAAATAAGTAGATTTTAAACTCATCTTTCAGTTAATTAATAATTATTTATTAAAAGGGCATAAAAGGAAACTTCATAAACCATTATTTCCTTTAAAAGAATATTTATAAATTGCAAAGTTACTTTGTGTGTAATATATCTAGCTTCAAAGTGTATTAATAAGATTACTTCTCTGTTTCCTTTTTGAAGCCAAGCTAAAATTGAGTTAAGTATTCTTTAAAGACATTAGCTATTGAGATTTTTTAAGGCTTTTAAAAGGAAAAAGTAAAGTCTTCTAAAGTGACCATGACATGTTTAAGTAAATATTTTTCCCAAAGGTTCCTTGTATAATTTAACTTGAGAAGATATGGGTAAACATGCAATATTTTAGGAAGTAGTTTACCACTTCCTCTGATTTCGGAAAGCCCTTTAAAATATATAAAATCTGCTGCAATTTTCTACAACACCACTTTTTCTAAAGGCTTCACAGCTTGGATAACCAATTGTGCTGATACATCAGTTAATCAATAGGCTCAGAAATCCCAGGGGAAAAAAAGGGAAAACTCATTGATTCTTTCCTGTCTACTTTTGCTTCACTGTCCCCTACATGACTTCACTACTGAGTATGTAGATCAAAAGACTTTTCCTAGGAATACTCTACTCACAAACTTCTGTTGGAATAGGCAAAGACTTTTCAAAAAAAGTCAACATTTACTTAGTATAAAGAGCTTTAAGCCTGAACTAGTAGAGTGATTGGCTGGTTTATCTAACTCTGAGAAACAGCTCAACTAGCTGTTCTATACAGGTATTTTTCTTTCTCCCCTAAAGAGCTTGCCTGGGAGCAGTCAAAATCAAAGTGGAACTTAATAAAAATGAAAACTGTGGTAGCAAAATACACTTACAAGGTTAATTTGACAGATTGCAAAGCTTTGGGAGGTTACAGTGGTTTCTATATATCCACAGTACTGATTTAGAAAAACCCCAAAGACACAGCTGCATTTTGATATGTAACCTATCTTGCCCACATACGAAACCCTAGAATATCAGGGGGTATAAGTCTTGAGATGCTAGAATTCGAAAATAACACAGATGAAAACTGTATGCACCTCTCTTTGAGAAATAGTGGGACAAGAAAACCTGTAGGAGTTACACTCATATGTTGGGCAAACACAGAATTGCTCCAAATGACATTGCTAATTTCTTATCCTAGAGAATGGCAAAGAATGACGAAGTCAAATTAGTTCTGTTGGCCTATTAAGAAAACTGTTGTGCTCCTATCACTGGATTCTTTGCTTACCTGTGAATATCTCCATTTCTGGTATTTGGTAGCGATGGGCTGAGGCAAACCGGGCAAAATGTTTTCCAGCTGCTGAAAGATTAATTCCTGCACATCCTCCATTTTGTGTTCCAAGTATGTAACCCCAAATGGGACAGTGGTATGAATTACCAGGGAAGGCCCGATTTCTGATGACTCTGTGACATAAGAAGAACATAAAGCTACATGTCAAAATGGGTAGCATGAAAGCATCTCCCAATCAAGATCAGAATCATCAGGCAATAAATGGGGGGAAACCAGATTCTAATCTTTAAAGCATAAATTAGGCGATTTCTGAAATTCAAAATCAAGCTTCTCTGAATAGGAGGACAGATTCAAGATGTGTTTTAGAGAACAAATTATCAGGTCTTGCTAAAGAACTGGAAGGAAGGGTAAGAAGAGCACTTAATATGTACTGTTTGGGGCATAATTAAGTTTACTGGTGTGTTTGTTCTCATTCACTAGGTTGCAAGCTCTTCAGAACAAGATCCAATTTTTAATACACAGTCTGTATCTTTCTTAAATTCTGAAAGGAAAATCTATGGTCAACAAATACTTAATCACATTCATTTTATACTTAATGGATTGCAAAGCATTATGCTGAAATTATACAAATGCCACAGTATCATTAGCACGTTCATGAAAAAAATCAAGCTTCTCTCTAAAAACAGGCTTGTCCTCATCATGATCTTTTTTATCTTTTAAACAGCATTAAAAATAAAAGTCTGCCTCATTCATATTATGAAGAAAGTACATTTTTGTTTGTCATTGAATTTTTTTGCTATATTTTCATAATCCCAAATAATGAGTGTCTGCTTCGTATCTTTCACTCTTTAGTAGAAAATAGGGCAATTGAAAGCAACTTAGGCAACTGAGGCACTAGAAAGCACAATCTTGGAATGAATGAAAACAAGAGTTTGTCTGTTATTTGTTTAAATCATGGGAAGGTAAGTTGAGGGGAAAACAATAATAGATCTGAAATGCATGAAATATAATAAGAAAGTTAGTGTTCCTTCTTGCTGGAAGAAAATAATATTAAAGTGTGTAAGGCACTGACAGGAGCTGGCATATCTGATTCTGAAAGTCTTTAACTTGAGATTGCAAAAGGTAATATAATTACCTATTTAAACTAGATTGGTACAATTTTACACAAGAAAAAAAGGGTTGACATAAGCCAGTGACTTGCTATATGTCCCTTTAACCCCTTTATATTTCAGGTTTTTGATTTGTTTCATTTTTTGATTTTTTTTTAAATGAGAATAAGTTAGTATCTACCACATGCCTATGGTGTGAATTAAATAACATTGTATGTATAAAATGATCAGCACAGTTTCTGGAACTGAGTAGCTGCTCAATAAATGTACGCTATGGAAATGGAAGCAAAACGCCAGATATAAGGGGAAAGTTCCCAGGTGTTGCTCAAATGATAGGTGTGAGCTATTTTTTGTAAAAGTACTTCATTTCTCCACTGCACTTGGCACAGGGAACCCCTGGCTTATGAATTTTACAGCAAAAAATAAGGGAAGAGAGTCCCAACATGCTGCAAGCCTTTTGAAAGTGCAGTGAGTGCTTCCGGACAGTTTCACATATTTGAGGTGAGGAATCTGAATTCAGAATCTGTGCAGTCAATGCAACGACAAGGCAGACTGTACACTGTTTTTACATCCCAACAGCTAGAATAACTTGAAAGAGGAAACAGAGGGGCCATCTCTTTGAATGTTCAATGTGTAAACTGTCAGTGAAGTCTTCACGGGAACTGTACAGAAGGAAGGACCCAGGAGAGCAAAATCTCAAATTCTTTCATGGAATATCATCATGGTGAGAAACCTATTGCACACTGCCACAGGGAGGGTTATTTATGTCACCAGTTAATACATTCAGGAGGGTTTGTTCACAGTGAGGGAGTGTGCATGCCACTCTTCTCTCAACAGAACCAAATCTTCCCAGAGACAGAGAAAGCTACTGGGTCAGCCTTCTAAAGCAGTATAGTTGGGGCTCCAAGTTGACTTATGTATGGCAGGGTTCAAAAAAAAAAAAAAAAAACAAGAATGCTAGCTGTGTGCTGAGAATTGGAAGGTTGCATTGACCCAGTCATTTGTCTAGGGGGAACTCGTAAAGTCACTAAGACCAGTGATGGTGTGATGCCAGGTTTCTCCCGTTTATATTAGCCATCCACTCCAAGGAGAGCAATAAAAAATGAAATTTAAGACCTCAAGTGAAACAGTTCTTGCATAACAATGAGAGAACAACCTGGCTACTTGTTTTTATGGGAATTGGAGAAATTTTTTTGAGAATTAAATTTACAATTTGAATAGCTACGACCTAAAATGATGAGTTTTAGGGGAAAGCTCCCCCAACCCCAAATTAAAGGTTATTTTTAGAAGCTAAAGTCTAAAAACACAAAGAGCCAACCAGAGTTTAAACATTACCAAGGTTTGGAAACAGAGCATTATAAAAAGCCACAGATACGTTAATGGGATTCAGAGCATAAATTTAGTATAATCATTATTCCTTGGTCACTGAGAAGCTAATGATGCTATCTTTCTTTTTGTTTTCTTTTCTTTATTCAGTTTAACATGAATAGCACTTTGCTTTTGGCATTTTAAATGTAAAGTTCATAGTAAGTTGACAATTATTTCTGTACTTTGGGAAATCAATGGCTGTAGAGTCAGAAGATGAGTATTTGAACCCCTGCATTCTTAATAGCCCTGCGGTCTTGGACAACTTAATCTCTCAGCCTTCACTTTCTTCTGTCATTTAAAAGGGAGCAATACTACTTACCTTACAAAGCTGTCAGGAGGATTAAATGAGGAAAGCCACGTAAAGGCCTTTCTTTAGATATAAAATGCTACACAAACTTAAGGCATTCCTAGGTAATATTCTTGTCTTGACCTCTACGCTGTGGAAGGAGTTGCTTTAGAAAGGGATAACAGAGTCTACTTCTCTCAGAGGATTAACGTTGAGATTAAGATTGGGGTGTCGGCCGGGCGCGGTGGCTCACGCCTGTAATCCTAGCACTCTGGGAGGCCGAGGCGGGCGGATTGCTCAAGGTCAGGAGTTCGAAACCCCCCTGAGCAAGAGCGAGACCCTGTCTCTACTATAAATAGAAACAAATTAATTGGCCAACTAATATATATAGAAAAAATTAGCCGGGCATGGTGGCGCATGCCTGTAGTCCCAGCTACTCGGGAGGCTGAGGCAGGAGGATTGCTTGAGCCCAGGAGTTTGAGGTTGCTGTGAGCTAGGCTGATGCCACGGCACTCACTCTAGCCTGGGACTCTGTCTCAAAAAAAAAAAAAAAAAAGATTGGGGTGTCATTGCATTAACACCCCAGGGACAATGGCACACTATTCGTGGGCATAGGCACTTTTTTTTTTTTTACAATTATTGTGGCGAAACAGAAGTAATATTTGCCATTTTAACCTATTTTAAATGTATATTTCGGTGTCATTAAGAACATTCATTGTTGTTCTGTAACAATCACCACTATCCATCTCCAGAAACTTTTCATCTTCCCAAACTGAAACTCCATATCCATTAAGCAATAACTCTCTATTCTCCTCTCCTACTGGCCCCTGGCAATCACTGTTCTATTTCTGTTTCTATGAATTTGACTACTCTAGGGACCTCACATAAGTGGAGTCATATAATATTTGTCCTTTTGTGACTGGCTTGTTTCACTTAGCATAATGTCCCCAAGGTTTGTCTATGTTGTAGCATGTGTCAGGGTTTTCCTCCTTTTTCAGGCTGAATGATATCCCATTGCATGTATATACCACAATTTATCTATTCACCCTTTGATAAACACTTGGGTTGGTTGCTTCTGTAAATATTGGTGTACAAATGTCATTTGAAGTCCTTGCTTTCACTTCTTTTGGGCAGATATCCAGAAATGAAATTGCTGGATCATATGGTAATTCTATCTTTAATTTTTTGAGGAATAGCCATATCATTTTCCACACCGGCTGCACTAGTTTGCATTCCCACTGGCAATTCACCAGAGTTCCAATTTCTCCATATCCATATCAGCATTTATTTTATGTCTTTTGTTTTTTAAATAATAGCTATTCCAATGAGTATGAAATAGGCATAGCAGTTTTTAGTCTACAATTTTGGTCGGGGTCAAACACTGAAAGCTGATAACAACACCAGCAGCCCAGCAGCAGCAGCAGTACTATTATCTGTTAATAGAGTTCTAAGATACAGAACGCTCAACCATTAAATAATTACAACCAAAAGCTATGGAAGTCAACTATTCGCTAAACAAAAACTGCAATTTGTTTTGGAATAAACTATCTATGGTCATACCAGTTGTAACAATAAACATTAACAGGTTAAATTTGCTTAATTAAAGACAAAGGTTGTCATAATAGGCAAAAAATAACACACAACTACATTCTGCTTATACTAAAAGATCATGGATATCAGAGCCTCCCTCTTCTCAAAGTGTCATTTGAAGTTCCTTAAATGAGGTTCTATTGGAGGTAAGGTCTCTCAGTTTTTTTTCTTTTCTCTATAAATGGCTTCATTTCACCCTCATTTGTAAACTATATTTTTTGGTACATAATAATAGATTGAAAAAATTTTTAGTACTTTAACGATATGATTACAATGTAGATTAGCTTCTATTGAGGCTGTTAAGAATTCAACTCTTAATTTGACTGCAGGTCCTCTGCAGGTAAATTTATATCTGGCTGCTTATATAGTTTTCTCTTTGTCTTTGGTGTTCTGCAGTTTTACTCAAATATCTTCAGGTTTCTTTTTGTTTACTTTCTTTGACTTCATTGGCTTTTCTGAATCTGAAGTCTCAATTTTGTCATTAATTATGGAAATTGTTCAACTGAAATATTATCCAAATATTTCCTTCTTCCCATTCTCTCTGTTTTTTCTACATTGAACTCTAATTACAGACATGTTAGATATTCTCATTCCATCTTCATATATTTTGATTTGTTCTTAATATTTTTCATCTCTATCTCTCTGTGCTAAAGGCTATGCAATTCTTCTGATTTATAATTTGGTTCATCATTCTCCTTACATTTGTGTTTATTCTGATGTTTAATCTGTCCTTTGAATTTTAAATTTAGTTATTTTATTTTTCATTTGTGAAAGTTCTATTTGGCTCTTTTTCAAATCTGCATGATCAATTTTGATAATC